GCCTAAGTGGGTGCCAGCAGGGGCCTCCCGATCGCCCCACCAGTTGCCCTGCAGATCGCCCCAATCACTAGCCAGGCCGAGGGACCCCACCCGTGCACGAATTTGTGCACCAGGCCTCTAGTTCGAGGAGATTGTTACACTTGAGCAACCCAGAGTTACCACTCAAGCTCCAGGAGTGTCTTTCTTCTCCCTCACCTTCATTTGTAACATTCTGAGAGGGTTGCAAATCACACAAAAGTAATGGGTTGAAGAGTCCCCACCATCTCATCCAACCCCCCTGAAATACAGAAAAAGAACTCACAGTGCTTTATCAGAGGGGTTCTCTCTGGGGATTCACCTGCTTGTTTTCAGTCCCATACACTTGACTTTTAATCAGATAAGTCTACAAGAAACAACCTTCCTAAGAAAGAAATCAGCTATTTCCCTGCCCTTTCCCCCTTGTCCCACTCCCTTTATAGATATGAAAAGGGGCCCATGTAACACTGAAATTCTGCTGCAGGAACATTAGTATCTCAAGTGAATTTTATTTGTGGTTATTTGGGCCCCTGTAGTTTCTTCAAAGTCAATGATGAATTTTCTTGTCTTTGATGTTCCAACCCACGAACAGGACCACAATCTACTGCATACCCTGCCCAGGTTATACTCAATCCAACCACTAGATGGGAAGTTAAATGCAGGCATGGTGGTAATGGGTCATCGCCTGAGGTTCACCAAGGGATTGTCCTGAATCAGCAGTTCTCAATTAGGGTCTGTCAGAATGACCTGAAGGGCGTGTTAAAACATTACGGGGTCCTACTCTAGAGTTTCTGATTCAGCAGGTCTGGGTGGGGCCTGAGAATTTACATTTCTAACAAGGTCCCAGAGGATGCTGATGGACCAGGGACCACATTTTAAGAGCCACTGCTCTAGGGATATGGCTCATCTGAGAACAACTGCAGAAGACTAGGCCAAAAACACGGGGAGGAAAGGTGAGGACTTTGGGTGGGTGGCTTTTTAATACTCTTCCATTAAAGCGGGCTGGAGGGGTGTCTATGTCCCTTCCTCTTGAATCTAGGTGGGCTTTTGACTGCTTTGACATATAGAATACTGTGGAGATGATGCTGTGTGAATTCCCAAGCTAGGTCATAAAAGGCCATATAGCTTCTCAGAACACTCATTCTAGGGGAAGGCAGCATCCTGTCGACTATCCTGAGACTGCCCTGCTAGAGAGCCGTGCAAGCCCCTTTGGATGACGGTCTCAAATGAGCCTGCTTCCAGCCATGCCCACCATGTGCCAGACATGTGAGTGAAACCAGTCTGGACTCTCCAGTCCTGCCCACCTGCCAACTGAATACCACTGAGTGACCTCAGTTGAAGCCACAGAGCAGAATTGCCCAGCCAAGTTCTGTCCGTATTACTAACTAACAGATTGCATGAGATAAAATGATTGTTTTAAGCCACTAAGTTTTAGGATAGTTTGTTACTAGGCCATAGATGACCACAGTACTGCTCTAGGTTAAAAAGGGGAGAGAACTACATGCAAGGAAGTGCCAAGCCTAGAGAAGCCTCTGACTTCGGTTTGGCGCCCTCTGCAGGAGCCATGAATAGAAATGTTTTACCTCCCATTTGGGACTTTTATCTGGCGAGAAAAGCCAGAGCTAGGAGGGGCCTCCTTAGTGATGATATGGCCCAGGGTTCTCAACCATGGTGGAGACGTGGGGTATGTGAAGGTAGTAGATCGACTGCAATAATTTCCCCAATGTTCACCCCCCCCCCTCCAGTGTACTCTGCAACTCCTCCAACTGGAGTGTGCTCCCCACCCCTTGATTCTGAACTTGGCCCTGTCACTTCACTTGCTTTGGCCAATGACATGTCAATAACTGTGACAGTGGCAGTTGTTTCCTCTCTAGCAGCTCTGCCTTTGCCATGACAATATGCCCGGGCTAAGATGCTAGAGGACAAGACACATGGAGCTAACCTGCCCGAGTTGCGCCAAGGCCATCTCAGATCAGCTGAACCTGTCAACTGCCAGGCACAAGAAGGCGCCCAAGCAAGACCAAAACTGTCCAGCCACCCAGTTTAAATCGCCAATCAAGACTCGTGAGCAAAATAAATGCATATTATTTTAAGCCATGGAGTTTGGGGTTTATGATTATAGTGACAACAGTTAAAAGAGCATTAAACTCTTAGGTGATGAATGTACACCCCCCACTTCCCCACTGAGACCTGGCTCAAGTCGAACTCCTATTTCCACCTGAGGAAATGGGAGCCATTTGCAGAATAAGCAGCAAAGGATTCCTGGCCTCGATCTCTTGACATGTAATTATATTTAATCTAAATTTATTGAGCACCCATTAGGTGCAAGACACCACAGAATTAAAAAGGAATGTGGCCATGGCCCACCAAGGAGTTTGCAGTCTATCAGGGAAGCCAAGACCGCAAGACAGATGTGGGCACTGTTGGTAACAAATGTGGAATGCAAGCAGGAGGCAGGGTCCCTTCTGGTGAGCTAATACTAGGATACACCTAGGGATTCAGTTGCAGTTGCACCCTTACTTGGTTCTCAGACCCAAAACTAAGCCTGCCTTTCCAGACCAACTGAAATGGCCTCAAGTGCCATGTGGCTTACTAAAGTCATCCTTTAGTTCTGAACTTACCTTTTAAAACTGAGGTGTACATCCTAATAAGCATAACACCAAACTGAGGAATCAATTTAGATAATCAGGGTTAAGCACAAAGGATTCTTAAAAGAACCGTACATTTTGCATAATTTCTATTAAGAAAATAAAACCCACAAGGACAAGAAGCGTATTGCTGACCTTCATTTTTACTTAAATATAGTGATCTTTTAAGAGAATAAACAACAACAAAACTTTACACAGCAAATATTTTACATAAATGTAAACATGCACGTCTACTTCATAATTAAGCAAAATAAACTTTTAAGCACAAAATTTTAAAAACATTAAAGAATGAGACAACAAACCCAAGACAGAAATAACAGGAGCAACAAAAACACACATTTCATAAAGCTTCAATTGGTCTTGTCTTCCAACCTACTGGTTAAGGCCTGAGTTTCAGAAATCCTACCTTCCTTGCCAAATGGAAATGTCCAATTTGGCTGTACTTAATATATATCCACATACCATAGTATTACTCTTTCAAAATAATGTAATAAATACATCACACATACACACACCCACGCAATTCCTACTTAACCAGCCTCTTGAATAGGGAAGGATTTTGGAATTTCAAGTTTTCCCACTACTGAAGCACATACATATAATACCACACATAGAAAGAATGATCCTGCTACAGAAATAAAATGGTTAATGAGTGGCATCATTACAAATATCTAGTTTCTCTGTATTAAGTTTTTCCAAATCATGTCTTTACTGTGGCTCCTCAGATAATTCGGACTTAAGTCTTTACACCTTACCTAATGACCCACAGTACGGTAGACATAGAACAAAGAGAAGGTAATTTTCACAATTTAGTTAGAAACTTCAAAATGATGAAAATCAGCATGGATACTTTTCAGCTTTCTCCAAATGCCTGGAATGTTTTCTCTATATCTACCCTTTCTACTGTACTTGTTGGTTCTCTCTGCCTCCTCCCCACCAGCTATAAGCTTCTGAATGTCTATGCCTGTGGACGTCCCAGAGGATGGAGATGAGAATGACAGTCCCTGCCTTTAAGGAGTTCACACTAACCAGAGCTCGAGCAAGGAAGTCAGTATGGACCCAGCACTCCAGCTGGTTGAAAAGAACAGAGGAAAGGTCCATGAAAATGGCACCTGTAGGAGATGGCACCTCAGGAGTCAGGTTTGGGGAAGAGGAGGAGGAGAGACTGAGAAGGCACAGAGGCAGGAAGAACAAGACCAGTTTGCCTGGCATGAGGGTACTCGTGAGTAGTCTGTAAGGCCAATTTTTTTATTTCCAAAAACAAAAGATTCTTTACTGTGGTGGGTAAAGCTGGAGGGCGGGGGAGGGAATCACCGAGGGCTTTGTGCAGAGAACCAAACTGGAGCCAGGCTAGAGATTGACCATGCGAGTCGGGACGATGGGTGACAGGAGAGCCTGAAGCTCAGAGAGCTTGACTCGCCAACCCAGTGCCACATGCAAGCATTTCCTATAGAACAAATATCTTTACCTGACATGCCCAAACCATAGTTCTGTCTATGTATGTGAAGACTTCGGGGGGGGGGGGGGGGGGGGGTGAGGCTTAAATAGATATTTTTAGTTCAAGTTCCTGAAACCTGCACCAGCTTGAGCAAGTCAAGAGCAGTGAAACATTCCTACATCCAGTAACAATTCATGTCTCCCAATCATGACCTTCGCCCTCCCTGAGCTGTCATTACTAAGGACATATAAAACAATTACCAATTCATTATAAATAAGTTCCTACATGCCATTAAACCCACTGACACCTCCTGATGGGCTGAGAACCCACCACAGGGTACAAGTGTGGACCTATTACCTACACTTGGTAGAATGGTATGAGCGTGCTGTTGGACAGTGACTGCTGGTCCACATCTCCAGCTCACTGGGATCACTATGCAGTTAAAACAGGGGACACCATAAGGCTCAACTCTAACCATGGTCACCACCTTGGATCATCTAATTCCCTTCTAGGTCAAGATTGCATCCCTCCACTAGCTGGGGAAGGAGAGGCCATCTGAGTGGAGGGATCCCAGGAAGGAAAATCATATTTAATGTTACTGATAACCTGCTAAACCAAAGTAGATGGAAATTTCTCCGGACATATTCATTCAAATTACAGAAATGGGACACTGCAAACTAATTATGGGACAATTTATCGCACATTCACTCAATATGAAACATTTACTAGTGACCAGTTTCCTCAACAACAGATTCACTTGGAAACTGCACACTGCAGAAGGCAACCTTGTGACTTTCTTCTACCTGTATATAAAAACTACAAATCAGTCTGGCAATCAGGCACAAACAGTGGTACAAAAGCACGAACAGAGACACCTTATCAAAAGAATGTGCTCATTTCATATTGCAGAACTCCTATTTAGATTCTGGTTTCTAAAAACCTGCTGCTGGTTCATTTGTTTAGAAAGGTTTCCTCACTACACCTCTCTTCTACTCCTGCCTCCCCCACTACAATCCCCTGAATGAGGAACACTTAATATGGATCTACTCAGAAGTAAAAGCCCCAAATTAACTGGGTCATGTGTCAGTACAGTGGCTGCTGGTTTAATCTGCTAACCCAGCCTCCTGCATTTAGGGACTGTCTGGATCTGAATTTGAGCTAGAAGTACACAACACTTGTCTTTTGGAATCCACTACAAATTCCTATGTACATCTGTAAGTCTCACATATGAGAACCTCTGGTTCTAACAAATGAGACTCAAGGGAGGGAACAGTGGGAAAAGCCTGGACTGGGGGCAGGAGGCTAAACCAGCTGAGTGCTTCCCTTTCCTTATTTGTAAATGAGGGGGTTGAACTGCCAGGGCTCCAGGGTCCCGCCCAGCTGACACTTGAGGACTCCACCTTGAAGTCCGTTTCTTCACAGGCTTGCCAGGCTGTCACACAAAACTTCCTTACCACTTTGTTTCCACATTTCAAGTGGTTTTAACATACTTCTATGTGGCAGTCTGAGGTTTCCCCCTCTCTCCTATCCCTCAAAGACTGTTTCTCATTTCACTGGTGCAGACCACTTGGCCACACTGGTGGCTGCCAGGGTTTAAAACAGAATCACTGGCCTGGTGAAGATATGGCCTTTGAATAACCTAGACCAGGGCACATTTGCCTGTTTTTCATTGCCAATGTTAACCAGATAGAAACATAATTGTTAGTTCTTCTATCGATCTACTTAAACCTTGAAACATGAGATTGTTCAAATAATTACACAAGAAAGTCACCCATCACCATTAAGTTAAAGACTTGAATATCTGAGAGCTTTAGGGCCTCGAATTTCTACTACAGTCACTGATCCACAGCATTTTCTCTTGTCAATGGATTCCATGCAAAAGTAGCCCGGTCTTGCAGTATATCTGTGCACCAAAAAGTTGATTTAGAAAGATCCAGCTCTAGTCATCACTGTCACTCCCAGATTCACTCAACTGCAAGTCATTTCCTATAAAAAGAAAACAGAATCAAACCAAAAGTACACAATTTAAAAATGACTTTCCCACATTTCTCTGGTTGATTGCCCTTGCTATCACACTCTAGCAAAACCAAGCCAATTTGATTTAGCTCAGTGACAAAACAGGTGCAGTCAACATTTTGAAAGAAATGTTATTTGTGGTATCTGCAAAACAATTCTGCTTACTGAGATAGAACAGGGGAGGAGTAGGCTAGACAGCTTTTAAATGTGTTAATAAATAGTAAGGAAATACTGTATTTCTAAATAACTGACTCACTGTCTAGAATTTTTCACATTAAGTTGCTTTATAAAAGCCAATACCAAATTAGGTTTCCCACTAAGGAAGCGAAACACTTTTTATACCTTCAACATGCTAATCCAATTCCCCTCTGGTACACCTCTGTCCAGGATATTCATGTTACTTTAAACCCGAAACCGTAACTAATGAGTGTTGTAAAGCCTCACATTTGTGTTTGGTGTGCAGAATTTAGATTTATATAAGCACTCAACATTCCCATCTGAGAATAAGAATAACAGCTGCCCAGTTGATACTGATTGGATTACAACAAAAGTGAACTTCTGTGTTTCTGGATTGCTAATCTCTAAGCCACCTCTCCTCCAAGTTTGTTCTGAGGACCCTGGGGTCCTTCTTTTTCTAACTACACACCTAATGTCAGATTTTTTTCACATACTTCAACCTACACAACTAATGGCAACAGAGTGGATGCAGCCATCTTTCTACTAAGCCACGCATTAAAGAGATTAGCAAATTTTTTAAAAAATATATTTTTATTGATTTCAGAGAGGGAGAGATGCGTGTTTGTCTTTAAGCCAGTGATGCCAACATTGGTTGTTGGTTTTTGTGGGGTGGGTTTTTTTGTTTTTGTTTTTTTTTTGGAGGGTCACGTGTATGTAGACTTCAATGAGCCAGAGACTGAACCAAAAGGGGAGAATGATGATTTTTATTTTCTTAAATGTATTTTATTTATTTTTTTTACAGAGAGGAAGGGAGAGGGATAGAGAGTTAGAAACATCGATGAGAGAGAAACATTGATCAGCTGCCTCCTACACACCTCCTATTGGGGATGTGCCCACAACCAAGGTACATGCCCTTGACCGGAATCGAACCTGGGACCTTTCAGTCCACAAACCGACGCTCTATCCACTGAGCAAAACCGGTTAGGGCAGATTTGCAAAATTTTAAAGCAGTTACCTTCTTACTAAATATTTTTTTATTTAGTGCTTCTTTTTTTACTATTTGGTAATTTATTCCTTTCTGTTGAGAATTATCTTTGTCAGGATCCTTTCTTACACTTTAAATATCTCCAGGCTTATAGATTCTGACCTAAGATAAATAGAAGCTGCATCTCTGGCCTGACAGGCCACCGTCCCGGCCAGAAAAGGGAAAGCACACTTACTGAGGGTGTTCATGAGCTGGTTGCTCCCCTGTGGCCGGCCGGTTCCATTGACAAGGGCTGGCCTGCTGTTGTAGGGCTGCTGGTGTGCAGGCTGGGGAGGAGAGGTAGGGCCGTTGTCCTCGCCTCCGCTGCTGGAGCTGTCGTCATCGCTTCCCGAGGAGCTCTCAGAGTCTGAGGAACTGCTCCCACTGCTGCTGCTCATCTGCTCAATAATGTCCACTTCAGCCCTCAGCTCTGGAATAAAACGGCACAAGTGTCAACACAACAACCATTCTCAAGGCAGCACTTCTGTAAATAGTAAATCTGCAAAACCAACAGCAATGAGGAATAACTTAAATGAACTCCTGCTTCTCAATTCCTTAAAAATGTACAAACAAAATGACCTAAACAAAAATACCTAACCTGTCTTCAGAGAGACAATGAAAACATTAAATTCACCCCAAATAACCAAAAAGCAAACTGCTTCAGGATGATGACTGTTCTATTTTGTCTTTACTAAGAAAAAAAATGTGAATTATATATTTAAACACCAAATAAGAGCCTCCTGCACACCCCTTATGCTAAGGGATTGAAAAATATTTAACTAGTAACTGGAAGGTCTGAGTGCTTGTTTTGGATCTAACCAGCAGGGAGACCCAGTGGAAGCCAATGAATTTTCCAAGACCCTCGAGAAAAATGCAGGGCCAGACAGACAGCATCTGGGGTGCTTTCCAGTTTTTATGTCCCACGAATAAATGGAAGCTTGCAGGAGGAACCACGGTGACTGAAGACACATGGTGGAACATTCCTCCTCTGTCCTTTTTCTGTATTTGACTGGCAGTCCTGCCTGTCAGGTACTGCATTTTTTACAGATATAAAGCAGGGAAGGAAAAACATGTTTTACCCAACATGTCAATGTCACTGAATACATTAAGGATATAGAATAGATTTTCCTGCCCAAACATACCATGTGGCCTTAAACAGCTATGGTTCCTTTGAGAATAACTGGGAACAATTCCTGTTCAACTAAAGTGAAAACTCCCATAAATGACATTCCAATATTATGAGGGGGAAAAAAAAATCAAGTGGCTTAACCACTTGTGCACCATGCAAAGACTGACTTTGTTTTGCTAAGAGAGCTCCTCTCTAAGGTGGAAAAGGCAAGCCTCCCAAGGACAACTCTCTCTTTCCCTGTTTTCTACTGTTATCTATTTAATTTTGTTTCATAAAATACGCCACTTACCCTCATAACTTCCCAAGAGTCTGAACAACTAATGAGATCCATTGCACAGAAGAGAAAGCAAGGTAAGCAAGCTTCTTTCTCAGGTATGTAATGGAGAGAGCCTCACCAGACCTCTAATCTTTTTAGGCCACTGTCCATTTCCACTGGTCCTCATGGTGCTTTCATGTGTAAACTTAATGTTAGTAGAAAGTATTGGTCACGGTAACTTTAATGTCCCTCTAAGCTAGATACTATACTAACACTGGCACACCTGGCTTTCACCCTTAGCACCTTGGAAATTTTCTTCTTCCAAAGCTTTGAAGGTGTGCCATAGGCCCTTCACTTGTTTAAATCCTGGGCCTCTCAGCAGAATGCTGCGAAGATAGCCACAACTCAAGTCACTCTGCCTGGATGCCCCCTGTCAAACGAGGTAAGTGAGAAAGCCCCCACCCTCATCACTCTGGAATAGTGAAGTCTGCAGAAACTGTCAATGGCAGAGAATGCCCACACCATCATGTCAATATTCAGCCTTGTGCTCTCCACAGAAACATCACCATACTACAACTTGCTATCGTGCCTCCAAAAACTGCCCTCTACCTCTTTTGATGTCATCCAGCTGAGGTTCAGGTGAAGGGTTATCTTTCAAGGGCGAAGTTTTGGGTCCAACTGGAGGCTTTGTTGGAGCTCTGAATGGCATAGGTGGTGGGGGCGGAGGTGGCTGTGATGGCTGTGTTGGCTGTGGGGGACGAGTGGGCTGCTGTTCCATTCGGGCTTGAATTTTACTGCTCCCCTCAGCCCTGAAATGAGATACAGACATTAAACCAGAGGGAAAAAGCCAGTGGTTCTCAAATTGGTCCAGGTGGCTGACCACTAGAAGTCTCTACAGAATTCCATGCTTTTTAGATTGCTGCAAAATGTTGCTGTTTATAATTTTATCACATGAACTAATCATTCAACAGCCATCTATTGCAGTGATGGCGAACCTTTTGAGCTCGGTGTGTCAGCATTTTGAAAAACCCTAACTTAACTCTGGTGCTGTGTCACATATAGAAATTTTTTGATATTTGCAGCCATAGTAAAACAAAGACTTATATTTTTGATATTTATTTTATATATTTAAATGCCATTTAACAAAGAAAAATCAACCAAAAAAATGAGTTCGTGTGTCACCTCTGAATGCGTCATAGGTTCGCCATCACTGATCTATTATATTCTAGTACTGCATCATGCACCAGAGATACAGAGATGAATACAATAGACCCACTGCCCTCAGGAGTTCACGTTTTATAGCAAGAAGCAGATAAAACAGAAATGAGACTACAATGTGATTGTAAGAACCCATTTTTTAAAATATATTTTTTATTGATCTCAGAGAGGAAGAAGGGGAGAGAAATAGAAACATCAATGATGAGAGAGAATCATTGATTGGCTGCATCCTGCATGCCCCCTCCTGGGGATCGAGTCCACAACCTGGGCATGTGCCCTTGACCGGAATCAAACCCAGGACCCTTCAGTCTGCAGGCCGATGCTCTATCCACTGAGCCAAACTGGCTAGGGCAAGAACCCATCTATATATATAAAACCCTAATATGCAAATAGACCGAACGGAGGAACAACTGAACTGGTCGCTATGACGTGCGTTGACCACCAGGGGGCACGCGCGAAACATGGCAGGCCTTGGCAGCAGGTGGCAGAGTGCAGAACATGG